TCCCTGCAGTCTCTAGTAATGAATTATTTAGGATACTTCTCTTGGAAAAAATACGAATGTCCTGAAAATAGGATATTGTATTATTATTATTTACTATAGTGTAACATGGAATAACATGCGCGTTGCCGTGGCAACAGCTAGTAAACTTTTGGAATCTTTATTGTTATGACGTCATCACTATCCCTTCTTGTGCGATAGCTTTTAGCGGTCACCTCACGTAAACAAGGAATTTCAACCTTTAATCCGAGAGAAAATGCAATCCCCTTTTATGAATGTTGAATTAATAAAATCGCAGTCATTCCTCTTTTCTTACCATATGTAGATCACATCTATATACACTCTAGCACTATTCATTAATCATCAAGATCTTCATGTCTTCTGGCATGTTTATGCTCTGGATGGAGCACTCATATGGCAGGCGAGCACGGCAACAAATCACAGAATAAATGCAGGGACCCTTTAATTTCCACAATGAATTACAATACATCGGCAAGGTAGACGCGGGCGAGAAAGAGCAACTGCAAGCGACTGAGGAAGTTTATGGTCATGAGTAATATATTAGTGCAATTAAAGCTCAGTAAGCAAAGGGATGAATGCTCTTTAGCAAAATAATATTCACCAGAAATGACATTTCGTCTGGATGAAAGGTTTGCATTATTTCCACTCTATGAAAGGCACGTCAGCTTTTAATGGAACAGAACTTTTCCGCAGCATGCTTTAATTAGGTTATTATTGTGGAGATTCCGACTAGAAAAATCTCAGCAGCTCTGCTATTCCATTTAGCGTTTGTTTCTTCTGGCAATGAATAGCCACGCGTTAATGCTGGTCGTATTTCATTAAAATGTGATTTTTAATAATACACGTCCAACGTTTTGCACTCTGTCAACGTATAATCATCGTTTGCATGGTTGTCTTTCTCAACTTGTCAGGCTATAAGTAAAAGATGACACCAACTTTCCAGAGCTTCTTTCCTACCAACAAAATATGTATAAAAATCGTAACACTACTACGGTGTTATCACATATACATTTTTTAAATTTACTATTTTGGTGGTTTAATCTGAGCTTCTAAGCTCTCTATCAATCACTCTGATAAGAGTTAAATTTGGACTTATATATGCATTTATATGAAATACAAGGGCTCATCGAAAGATATTTCTACTATATGTCCAACAAAATGGATTAAGATATTTGTCAATAGTATAATGTATTTTGAAATATATAGTATATAAGTTAAGTTTATTCAACTACAAAAAGAGCCGGTATATTTTAGATTCATCAATCTAAGAAAAGGTGTGGTGGAATCTAGTCCAATGACTCTTAACCATTTCCAATATCATTCATCCCTATAAGTTTTTCACAAAAGTTCGCTCAGCCCAGTTCGAAAAAACAAAACAAAAAAGTACTAAATTATAATGTAAAATTCTTTATTATGACTTAAATATACATCAAATTACAACTAGAATGAATACAACAGAAAATAAGTGTATTTATCAAACTACAACTAGAATAGATAATAATAATAACTAATGACTTTTTTGTTCTTGAATTTGTTGTATAATTGATAATACCCATTCATTCTCATTCTGATCTCATTAACCCCTGGGTGAACCATTCATCCAGTTGAGAAGCAATGATCTAGTTTTATAAAAAATGTCTGATTATTCGGTCTCCCTTTCAGCCGTGGGGGTGTTATAATGTGACGTTCAAACCCACTATTCGTTGGTAAAAGAGTAGCCCAAGAGTTGGCGGTGGGTGGTGATAACTAGCTGCCTTCCCTGTAGTCTTACACTGCTAAATTAGGGACGGCTAGCGCAGATAGCCCCCGTGTAGTTTTGCGCGAAATTAACAAACAAACAAACTGATTATTCGGAACGAAACTATGAAGCACTGCTTGAAAAAGAAATTATATACTTGCAGGGTATTTATTTGGGTTACCATAGAAAGGATTCCAATAAGTGTCAGATTTATCCTCATTAGAATTGTTTTTAATGAACGAAATGGAGCAGAAAATTCAGAAAAGAAAATTTTTGGGGCGAAAACTTTTTGTTTTTATACTAATGATTTTTTTCACTGTAAAAAAGTTTTAGATGAAAGAAGCTACATAAAATGAAACATAAATGATTGAAATACAAATTAAGTATTTTTTTATAAAGTTAAAGAAAAAATTTAAATATTACAAAACCTATAATATAGAGTTGTCCACAAATGTATCAGAGAAAGAGAGGCAGTTAGTTGCACGTCAACAAGCTCTATAATATGTTCTGGGTTTTTCAGTATTACTGGAAGACCTGACGTTTAAACCCGTTCCTGACTCTTGTACTGCATTTCGGGTCGTCCTGTTAAATCAGAGTTTTCATAGTAAAATAAACCTAGTTAGGCTTAACTAACTTATATATACATACATACGTTTGTGTGTTACGCTTTATATAGTTAATAATGCATCTT